AACTCACAACAGCATGCACACTGGTTTCATTTTGTAGCAGCTCAACACATCTTTGAGACTGAGCAAGGCTTGCCTTCAGAGCTTCATTTTCCTGATAAAGGAATAGTAATATAAGTAGTATGGACTAGAGAATGCAAAGTAATGACCAAAAAACCAACTTGTATTAACTCACATTTGAGGTCAATTTGACCTTTTCCTCCAACACACCCATCTTTGCCTTCAGTTCATCCATCTTTGCCTTCAGTTCATCATTTTCCTGAAAAAGAAGTTTTAGAATGAGTACCATAATAACGTTATCACTACATTCCAAAATACGCACTCACATTACTGATCAATTCTAATTTTCTCTTCCACAGTGAATCAGTGGTGCTTTCCTCTGGCACAACATGCTTTGATATATTATTATTTTCCTAAAAGAGGAGGTAGTGCACTGTTATTACATGTGTAACGTGTACTTTGTTGCAGCAATTAGCCACAGTTAAAGACCGAAACAACTGCAGTGCATAATACAAAACCAAAACTTACATTGATCGTCTGTCCTGCAAATAAAATCTTGGCCTGCTGGGCCAACTGAACTTCCAAATTGACTATTCTCTCAGAGAGAGAAGCCTGCACCTTTGAAACCCTTTCACAGACAAAGCATATCCACGTCGATATTGAATCAGAGCTGGAGGAACAGAGAGGTCGAAATAGCTTATCGGAGTAAACATTATTTATTTTGAACCGTCACCAAGTTATTATCTTACCTTGTTTCTGACTTTTCACACCTACACATCTAAAATGGAACCAATCCTCACACTCCTCACATAATATCATGCCTTTCCTGGAAACGAAACGACTACAATAGACCTATTACTTGTGGTTTTCAAATCCACACACAGTTGAACGACTTATCAGCAGATATACAGCAATTTAACATAAAATCAACATATATTTCATGGAGATTTAAAGACATTTGGAGTTAGGGTGGAAATTCGATTTCTCACAAGGAGTGCAGATACTTTACCCATCGTCCGGTTTACGGCATATACAATACATTTCTCAAATTTAAAAATTTCAAACGATGAAAATAGACCAAAGAATTTGAATATTCAACTGTATACTAGTTCAACAAGTTTTAGTCGTGTGTCGTGTTAACACATCCAAAGGAGAAGAGCGGCAAAAGCCCAAGGCGGATCCGACCTGAGAAACCGCCGAAATCGGTGACGTCATATGCGGCTCCTATTTCGTTCAGGTGCCCAGCCGGGAAACACAATCAGACAACATCAGTCTGCTGAATAGAGCAGTACTGTATTGGGTGACATCTTTAGTGGCAAACCTGCACAAGGAAAATACCCTGACCTGAGTACCTAAAAGATGTCTACTGATAGATAAAAACTCATGCTCTCGAACTCTCTACAGTCTGATGTAAGCTTTGGAACAAACCAAAGGAGCAGTAAAGTCAATTTCATCTCCAAAAACACCGAACATATTATGATACTGGTCATGCCCATGTGCACATAATGGAAGTCTGACTGTGCAAAAGCACTGCATTACACTTAGCATAATAATAAGAAAGAATGGAATGAAAGGTTCGTAAAAAGGAACATTCACCGTGATTGCAGGCAAGATGCAAACATGACTGCATCATAAGGTGCCCCCACAATGACCAGGAGCCATGGGCCACGAGCCATAATCCTCAGTCCATCATTCCTAAAACCGCCCAAATTCACGTAGTTTTAAACGTGAATATCAACAGTAAATTAGCTAACTGCAAGAGCGAATGCGTAAGGCCAAAAAAGAAAGGCCCTAAGGTCCCGTGGGGGAGAGCTGTAGGTGATGGCCTATGGCTCATGGCTCACGGCCCCCGTTCATTGTGGGGGCACCTATATTGGTACAAACAGATCTTAAAGAGAAATTTTCATTACCAGGCTATGGTCTGGTAAAAGACGTACAAAAAAATAAAAATCTTCTCAGTCAAAAAATTTCTAGGTAGCATTTAGGTAGCAACTTTAGGAATTTGTTCATACACCAAAATATACGCTGGCTTCTGTAAGGCCTTCTGAAGGCCTGATGGCGTGACCTACTCATAGAGAAAAATAGCATTATAGTTGTAATATGGAAAACATACCCAGGTAATTTTGCAAGGGTAAATGAAGATACCTCTTGGTCATCAAAGTGCCTAAACAACTGATCTGGACACTGCGCAACAGCCACATAATGTCCGTCTGCAAGACCATCCCCAACATGGGTCACGGCACATTTGAAACTGTACTTTGTGGATGATAGGGTGATGGTTGGATTGTATTTTACAAATATTTTTATTTTCTTACCATCACCTGTGAACCTGCAAGAAAAGCAGCAACATGTCCAGTGATTCAGAAATTGTGCACAGGCTCTCATTTCATATACCTACCTCTTTAATTGGATCAATAAAACTTCAGGGGGTTGTACTATTTCAGCCCTTTTTGTACATTGGACATGTTGGTGACAGCCAACACATTTGTAGCCTGCAATAACCTCTGCACGAAAAAAATTTGAAATTGAGTTATTAAGGATCGGTGTTACGTCAAGAGGCAGGTCCTTGAAGCTCTGCTCTGTTATTGACTTCCTCTTGCATACATTGCAAGACACTGGAAAAAAAATGCTGTGCTCATAATATTTGCAACACAAGTTAGAGTAAAATGAAGTTGGTTCATTTCTTACCCACATAACGAAGAATACCACCAAATATTTGCTGAATTGGAGAAATGACATGTTCAGCCCTGCTGACACACTGTATTTCTATGTTCTCAAGTAACTTTATTAAAAATTCATGGCAGTCTTGCTGTGTGCCCATGATGTACTCAGGCCAGAAATCTGTTTGCAGTAAACAATTTGATATGGTATTAGTATAGATGTGTTTGGTACTGTTAAGGGGTGTTGCTCTTTAAGCTGACCATTTTGGCATTTTTCAGAAAGAAAATTCTGGGGGCCTGAGTTATTTGACCTTTACCAATATGTGAATGAATTTTGTTTCACTTCATCTCATTTAACAAAGAAACAATATCAGAATGCACCTCCAGACCCATTTTCATGGTCTTGGCAGCCTGAACCTACAGGAAAGCTGTTGTCTTTTTTAGAAGCTTGTGCGCAAGATTCCTCCGACAAATATTGGTTTAAAAATCTGCACTTAGGTTTGCTTGAATCAGAGCGACAAGGACTATAAAATGACACAGGGGTTTTAGTATACTACCTTAAATAAAAATATATATAATGGAACCGAAGATACATTCTGATGTTGTTTCTTTGTTAAATGAGATGCAGTGAAACAAAATTCACTCACACTTTGGTAATGGTCATATGACTAAGGCCCCCAGAATTTTTTTTCTGAAAAATGCCAAAATGGTCAGCTTAAAGAGCAACACCCCTTAAATGCTCTACTCCAGAAAAGTTTGAACGCACCACTTAGGGACTTTATAAGAGCACTGGGATCTACAGTAGTTCTTAATGATGTAGAGTACAATTCATGCAAAACACATGGGAGGCAAAATTTTCCAGGCTGGCAAGTCTTTCGGTGGGACATTTCACTTTCACTGAGCAGCCAGGCAACAAAGGGTGCACAGTTGAAAAGTGCCTACAAAAAAGATTGAACAATGAATGCAGATATCGGGTGGCAGTGTTGAGCTGCGTGTTAACATTGAATCAATTATACCTGTAGGATGGCTGCAGCAAAACAGGTCTGGCCAACGTTTTTGATTCCATACCCAGCAGTTTTGCTCTCCCACTTATGAGGTACAGTAACACGTTGGCAAGTTACAGTTTCAGAGGAAGTGCACTAGAGCAGAAAATGACACATCACATGAGATGAGCAAGAAAAATACAGTTCACCCATTAACACTTTCTAAAACTAACAATAGAAAATAAAGTAAAAACCATCTGAATGTTGAGCAACTCACAACTGCACTGTGATCCTGAAGGACACCTGCCAGAATTTCCTTGGCCATCTGCCTCCTCCTGTTGGTTAGCCACTCGATGGAATCTGTGATGGTGTTTCCCTCAGCAACCATCCGGGCATAGTAACACACAAAAACACCACAGTCCCATGAGTTTGGTTGACTACCTATTCCACTAGCATGGTTTTTTTTCCACTTATTAAATAGAAAGGGGCCAGCTCTTTTCTTCCACCCATGCTCTGTGCTTAAATAGGTCAGTACTCTCTGAAAATTAATAAAAGCAGTGACATTGTAAGTTATATGTAGTATAATACCAACAATAGTAACAAAATTTGAAGTTACTACATATTCTCACATTTAAACAGTGGTTGTTTCTGCCACCCAGAGAGTCGTAGTAGGTTATTTCATATGCCTGTGGTTCAATCACGCATAAGCACCAGTGGTCAGGAATGAAAATTAGCATGAAAATAACATCACAATCCAATAAGTCAACCTGGAAAAGGCAAACAAAATGCAATGGACAGGATATAAAAAATAACACTTCAGTAACCTAACAAGGATTTGTACATTCTTGGTCCACTTCTTTACAGATTGAATGTCAGTACTCATTTTGGTGTACAGGTGAGAGCTAAATACATGAATTTTTTTGCCTTTCATTTTTTCTTTGATAAGATTTAAATAAAACAGTATGATCTAGACAGAAAGAAACAACAAGAGACATTCAGTAATATAAGTTAGTTCCAATGCAAATGACAATTGAATACTATAAATTTGGGAGCAAAAACCATTACCTCATCATTCAGCCATTCACATGACAGCAGAACTGACAACGTTTCTACTGTCATGGTGATTCCAAATTTTACAATAACTGGAGTCTCTGGGCTCAGATTAGAAAGTTCCTAAAATAAAAACAAGCAGCCTCATCAGGAATTGAACCAGCAAAATATTTCTTTTATAAATGTGTACATACATGCCTAAAACACATACCTGAATATCATACGAAATGCTGAGTGGCTCCTGTTGTGAAGACTCGTCTTCAGAAGAAACTACTACTTCCCTAGCTCCACTGCTTTCATGCAAATGCTGGCTCTTCTGTTCAGCATGATTTGGCGAATGCTGCCTCTTAGGTTCAGCAGACAGGCTGGGCTTGCAGGACATTAGTTGTATTGCCTGGGAATGCAGTTGAGGATTCGAATAGGAATAGTACACTGGTAAAACAAGTGTGCAGAATTTAAACACCAACGTGTGCAAGTTATGATGTTGCACATTACATGGTGTTTAACTCAAGTTGCACACTTGCGTAGTGGGCAAATTTTAAACGTTTTGTAAACTTCTAATTTCTGCACACTTGGACACATGAATCTATAGGAAACATATGGTGTACAGCTGCTATACTTTTCGGAAGTGTATAAAGTTTAAACACCAACTGACGTTTAACCTAGTTAAACACCACAATGTGTTTAGAAAATGCACACTTGAAATTAAACATCAATTGACGTGCAACATTAAACACTTGTTTTACCAGTGTACAGAGAGAAATCAAAAATGAATAAAACAAATGAATTTCATATTCATGCCCTCACCTCATGAGTAAATAACACTTCAGGTGTTGCTATTGTCTCAAGAGCTGCCTGCATTGCTCCATAAGAAACACACCTGCTATCTATCATGCTCCAAGCTAGAGACGATGACTCATCTACAGACAGGTACTCAGCAGCCTCAGCATCAGGTAAAGGGGTCACACCAGTTACTTCTCTCAGGAGTGGAGAGAGTGGAGTAATGAAGGAAGGACCCCCTTGAAGTGGACCACCATCCTAAACATTTGAAATGTAATCGAGAAAACTCAAAACAGAATATTCAATTAAATTTTAACTATAATTGGGAATTCTAGTAAATTACCTCTGTGGGAGGAGGATCATCTGGGTCTGAATCAGACGAGTCGCTGTCCTCTCCAAGATTGATGATGATCCTGTGGGGAACTGCACAGGCACCAAATCTACCAACTTGGTCCTCATAGTCCTTCAGAATCCTGCTCTCCACATGCCGAACAACATTTTTCCACACATCTGGAGTCACTGTGGAAAGCGACTCTTTCCACAGAAGGATCACTGCATCAGAATGTTTAGCTTGTGGCCACTTTTGGGGAATCTCATCTATGTGGCTGTCAAAGTACCGCTTGGCAATCCCCCACACAAGCTCAATAGGCTGGTACTCTGGGTGGTAGGGTGGGGTCCAAACAATAGCATGACCAGCTTTGATAGTCATATCCACAATTGGGTAAACTGGTTTCACATCAATTTTTCTGCATAAATCATATAATTCCTTCTGGGTGTAATGAACTTCGTCAGCAATTACCCCGTGAAATGCAAGCCAGGCCACCATACTAGCTTTTGAGGCATTTGTTGTGGGTTTCTTGTATCTTGGGTCCTATAGAGGTGACAAAGGAATAAATGAATTACTTCAATTACTTCAATGTTATTTAAGACAGAGCAGATGCATGCACAGAAGAAATCACGTAGGAAAGCACTTTGATTGGATGTTAGAATGTTAAGAAAGAAAAGATCCCTGCAAAGAAAACATAACATGTGAAGCTGGTTGCAAGCAGCATCTGGACAGAAATAATGCGTGCAAAGCAAATAGAATTCAAGGTACACAATAATTCATGACTGCTGCCAGGATTTGAACCTAGAACTCTTCTTAGAGAAGTGTGATACATTTCACCACAACAGTGTTCCTGAATTAGTATTCAAAGCTACATCTCACTCTAAACAATGTCTACTCCCAACACCACAAAATAACCACATGAAAAGCAATACATCTCACCACTACAACTTACTACAACACCTGGTTAGTTCACCCATAAATACTCCAGTCACAAAAGGTCTCTTTAGGTCATAGCTCTAAAAGGAGCTTTTTTCCATGGCATCATGGGACATTCATGGAAAGGAGATCTGCAAATACAATGTTTTGATGAGCACACCTTCCTAACAAGAGTATTAATGACAATAATCACCTGGAATTTGTGGTAGGATGCATTATCCATGAAGAACACAGATTTTTCCTGGACATTTGGGATCACTTTCTTACCATAGTAGGTAGAGAAAATGGAGCTGTTCATGTCTCCATGATAATCACTGCCAGGCTTTGGCTTCAACTTGGAGTGATAAACCAAGAGGGCACCTGGAACGAATCCATTTTCCCCACCACAATGCACAACAATGTACCGGATTCCTCCAACCTTTTGTTTGGACCTCTGGCACCGCCAGTCACCATTGGTCCACTGGTATGAGACGCCAGATCCATGCTGGAAAATCCACGTCTCATCCAGGTATTTTCGGGAAAATTTGTCATCATTGTAGAACTGGTGGAAGAATTTGAGAAATTTAAAGCGCAGCTCTGCAATTCTGTGCATTTCCTTTAGAAAAGCTGTAGCATTCCGTCTCTCATAATAAAATCCCTTGTCGTGCAACACCTTTCTGAGGGATTCACGCCCTCCCTCAAATTCAATACCCCTCTCCCTATACAAAACAATGAAAACAGAATAATAACACTAACTATTTGAAACCCATTTATAAATTTATTTAGGTTGTGACACGTACCGAATGCGATGAAGGAATGTTTTCAGGGTGAAATGTGTTCCTGCATAGCAAAGAAAGGAGGTCCAGAAAACAACAAATATAAAGCATACAAAAATAGGTTTAAATCGAGGGGTGCCTAACTCCATAAAAATGTGTACACCGGATTACCAAATTATAAAGATTACCAAAGATTACCAAAGATTACCTGTGTATGATCCACCTGCATTCTAAATCAAAACGGCAATTTTTTGTTCCGAGAAAGATGAATTTTTGTGCAATTATTTTGTAGTTCTTGATTCTTTATCATGCAAGTTACAAATTTGCATACTATGACTGGCCAAATCATGATTTTGTCCATGGGAGTGATGCAAAGTTGCCATATTAAACATGCGCGTTGGCATTTAGGCAAGATGTGCACAAAAATTCATGTCTAAATCAACAAATTTGTCCCTTTAAAGTACCCTCATGAGTGTGAGGATAACCAGGGATTACCAGTGATTACCAAGTCTGTGTACACCTGATTGCCACAATGGGCACCCCTCGGTTTAAAAATACGCATTACCTTTTCTGTGCAGCTCCATTAACAAATTGCGGATAGCTTGAGCAGTAAAACTGTCCACATTTCTGACAGGTCTCTTCCTTACCCTGTCTTTCCCAGGAGTTAGGGGACTTTCTTCCAGAGCCATTTTCTTCTCATATTTCGAAACCATGTAGGGCTTTACTTACTTGACATGATGAACAGGGATCAGGGGACCACGATTCCTCTTTTCCCTTTGAAAATATTTTAGGGCATTGTAAATTATTGCCTGGCATTGTCGACTGGGCAGCTGTCCTTTGAAGCCATGGCGATTCTGCCAAGGGTGCAGATGCTTCAGACGCCTGCCCTTCTTTGGCATTCTTTGAAGCTTTTTAACAAACCTTGGCATTGTCACCTAACCAACCAACGACGGCTCAACAACAATCTAAAGCATATAACGACAAAATTATTATACAGACCAATAAGACATTTCCAAAATTCAGTGGCATTTCAATGACGAACTTCGAAAAAACGAAAAACAGTTGTGGAAATGCCCTCAAATGCCCTCAAATCTGCTCAAATCTAAATCAGGATTGTTCTTGGGCAGGGGTCTGCATCCGGGCCGAAATAGGGGGAGCCGCTATGACGTCATTGTTCGGGGTGGTGGGGGCTCTGGCCCTCTGGTCTCTGATATACCGCGAAGCTCGAACGGCTCAAACGTCTGCAAAAGAATGTCTAGAATGTATTCCGAGTACATGATGACATATTTTGCTCAAATTTTAATAAAAATCAGTCTCAAAATAATTATAGATTCATACGATGAATTTATTATTTAAGTTTTAAAAGTTGTATAGACTTCAGAAAAGGTTACTTATTTAATTGTCTGAGTGAAGGTTTTGGAAGGAAAGAAAGAGATTGCGTTATTTGATATTCTCATTTATTTCAATGGTTTACAACAAGTCAAACAAAAGTATAAGGGATTCGTAACCAACTTATATGGAACAATCATTACGAGATGCTATTGTATAGCATAGCTAATAATTACTGTAACATCCCTTCCATAATAATCTCCATTATGAAATAAAATCAACATGCATATAAAATTAGGGGTGGTGTTTTGGGTCCTACCAGAAACGTGTCCTACCCATTATTCAAAATATAAAAATGAAAAGAAGAAAAATTGTTTAATATTGTGTCCTACCCTTCGAATATCAGTGTTGCTTTTGGTCCTACCGGAATCTGTCCTACCCGAAATTCAAATAAATGTTTTTTGGTAAATGAACTCTAGTTAAGTCTTTTATCCTACCATGGAATATTTTTTTAAATTCCAA